CTGGAAAGGTTACTGGGTTTTATTAGAGGATTGAGAGCAGAGAGACATAGAAGAGGAAGAGAAAAAGTCTGTTGTTTTTAATAAGCCTAACTGAATTAAAGTTAGATGAAAACAGATTTTGTGTAAACACATGGCTCTGTTCAATAAATGGGAATGCTAGGGCTTTGGTTCTTAGGAGTCCTGCATTATAAGGATTTTGAAGGCTATCAAGGATAGGATTTCAAATCATTTAGCCCTTTCTCAGTGGTAAGGTAGGGAGTGTGCTAGCTAACAAAGACATTGAAAGGTTTGTAAAACTTGGGAGTCAAATAACCTCTAGCTTTCCTGCTCTTGCTTTAGCTCTCTTGTTTCTTCTCTCTACCTTCAGAGCTATAGGCTCTGGAAAAGGATTAAATAAGAGCCTCAACTTCCTCAAGCCTCTTATTTTTAAAGTGCCTACTGCTGTCTTTTTCACCTTGGGTTAAAAAAGACTTTAGGTTGCTCCTTTCATACAGAGATGGCCCAAGAACAGAAAGCAAGTAAATGGAGAGTTTGCTACAGTATGTCTGGGGCCAAATGACCGCCCTCTCCCAAAGGAAGGCACCCCTCACCTCACCATATCAACCTCCTGAGCAGTTAAAAAAAAAAATCCAGATGAATAATCTCATATTGAAATGGGATTAAGATCAATATACTTTAGGTTCAAGGGCTGCCATAACAGTTAATCCTATTTCCCCAGCCATCTATTGCAAATGTCTTTATGAAAAGTTGATTTTATCAGTTAATTAGCCAGTCTTAGGAAATTACCCTTACTTCCTCCAGTCAGTCCATTCTTTTTGAAGCACAGATCTAAAAAGAACACTTCAAGGGGAAAACACAGCCATTTGGATTTTAAAGCCATTCTTTAATCTATATTTGTTTAGAGATCATGTTTTAAAATAAGATTTTACCGTGTCTTCTCAACGTAAAATATTTTAGTTCTTCAAAATGCTGACAGGTATAACAGTCACAATATCACACTGAAACAAATGAGTGAAATTTTAAAAAATCAAAACTTAAATCTGCATTTAAAAATGCTATGTATATATGCTAGAATCTAGTAATACCCTAGGTTTCCCTGAGGGCTCAGCGGTAAAGAATCCACCTGCAATGCAGGAGACACAGGTTCAATCCCTGGGTCAGGAAGACTCCCTGGAGGAGGAAACGGCAATCCACTTCAGTATTTTTGCCTGGGAAATCCCATGGACAGAGGAGACTGGTGGGCTACAGTCCATGGGTCCCAAAGAATCAGTCTGAGAAAAAAGAGTAATACCCTAAGATGCCCAAACAATCAGTTCAGAAAACTGAATATTAAGGTGTCCAAACAAACAGTTCAGAAAACTGAATTATCAAGTCCCAGCCCTAACCCAACACTAAGCACTTTGATTTTCCATTGTTATCCTGGGTTTCAATTTGCAGCTAATTCTACATCTGTAAGATGTAGTGCACACCTATTTACTGGCCCAGATTCCGTGGCTCGGTAGCTCTGCGTGTCACTGCACATGTAGCTAAACACGTTTATAACATATGATATACACTGTGCACACACACAAATAGCTTTTGGAAAACATGTCAGTTTTCTGATTTTTCTGTTTTATCATTTCTCTTGCTTCCAAATCCTATGCAAAAACTCAAAGCACCAAGGTACTGAATAGGTTTCTTGGGACTGTAGAATGAAGAGAACTATGGGTTAGACTGGGCAGCCCACCCTCAACCAGGATTTCCTGAGCGCCAGCTCCGGGCATCTGAAATCATGAGGCAGCCTCTGAATGTGACAGTGCCCTTGGCTCTGCACCTTTGTGAGAGCTTCTTTAAGGACAGGATTTTAAATACTCTTCCTCCCTCATTTCACTTAACCCTCCCATTTGCCCCTCATCACCAGTGTGTCTCCAGCTGTCTGGACCTTATATTATCCCCTTAATAAAATGAAAGGGTTAGGCAAGACCATCTCTAAAAGGGACCTGTAGCTCAAACAATCTGGGATCTTCAGGGTTATTTATCAGGATCAAGGGACAGTGGGTGGCAAAAGGCAGAACCCCTATGTCTATAGGTGGCACTTTTTATTCCCTTGAACATGACCTTTAAGAGATTCTAGGGGGGATACTTAACTAACTACTGTATTTGTGAAGTAAGGGGAAATCTATACAACTAGAAGTAGGCTGGGCATTTCTATAAGACTTAAGAAATGTCTCACGTCTCTTTTAACTCTTAAGAACAGTGGTTTCATTTATTTAAAAAAATTAAAACACTTATGAATGGATACCTATGGGTAGGAACCCAAATCTGGAAAATATACAAAAATCTCTTTAGAAGTTGAGCTGATAGCATTTACCAAAAAAAGTAAGCCATCATCTTCAAACCTGAGCTTCTAAAATAAGTTACCCACATTACTTGGTATTTCTTTTTCTCTCACATGCATACAAAAACTCTCACATACAACATGGAAAACTAGTCAAGTCAACAGTAACAGGAAAGGTAGACTACTACTCATGGCAGGTCACATAAGAGTATTTGTTACAAATATTTCAGCCACTCTAGGGGAGGGATTTGCTTTACAGGGCAAGTGCAAGTTTGGTTTCCAGTTCATTGATCCAGTGATTTAAACCAGTTCGTAAGATTTCATTAAATTTGCATGAGCTTCTCCTACTTCCTGGGAACAGTCAGGGCTCTTCCAGAAGGGGGCTGGAGTGGAAGCTGATCCTCAATAGAAGATTGTGAGATGCATTCACAGAGAAAGGGTCTGCCCAGCCCTGGGCTCTGCCAGCTCCCGAGAGTCTACACTGCCTGTCTCAACTGCAATGAAAAGTCACACATATAACAGCAAGGAGAAATAGTTCAAGAATACACCTCCCCACATCTGTGTTCCTGCCTAACCTCTGTTTAAATCTATCCTTCTTTTGGTTCCATCTCTAGAAAGAAGAGTCAGAGTGGGGGGGGGGATAATTCTCAAAGACTCTCTGAGGCTACTCAAACATCTGCTTTATCCTTAAAAGACAGAAAACCCCAACCTTAAGAAGTTAAAGCAAGAAGCAAACAAAGAAACACATCACACTTGGTAAGCAGAAACATCTCCCAAAGCAGCTCCATTTTAGGTATGGCACTTTAAAGAATTTAGCACATTCTATTTGTCGAGCAGGAATTATTTCTAAGGAGCCAGAACACATTTATTGATTCCTTTACTGAAGCCTCTTCCTGCAGATAAATATCCAAATATCCTGTCTGCTGACATCTTTCTCTAAGGAACCTACCTCTGCTTCAGCACATGAAATCTATCTGAATGCAGTCATCTCACTTCCCTTCTAACTCTTTTGGGTTATAGAGAAACAAACAAAAGTGTCATAAAAGCATTTCAAAGAACTTCTGCCAAGAAAAGCCTCCCAAACAGACTGCAGTTTATGCTGCTCTGAGCAAGAACTGGAAAGGCTGGGCCAAACTGTCAACATATAACAAAGTAGGATTACAATCCTGTCTTTTATCTTGCAAACACATGCGCGCACATGCACGCACGCAGACACGCGCCTGTAAACACACACACTCACACACTTTAGGTTATCTTTCTTTAGCCCTTCAGTGGCAAGTTTCCCAATCATTTGAAAGCAATCAGAGGGCAATAATTAACATGCATTTACTTTCCTATAGAAAACATCCACAGCAAGCTGTGACAAAGCTAAGGTAACCCCACATCTGTGAGTTACAGTTTGTTCCCTTTTAAAGTTTTCTAGCGTCTCCCCATGAATATGAGGCCTATCATTAAAGAATGTTTAGCTGGTACCTCTGGCCTTTCATGTATTGATTTAGAACACACAGCTTTTACTTAGATCCAAAGATATCCTCAATCCCAGTGGCATTTTTACATACACATACACAAGATAAGACAAAGCTGGGAAGAATGTGTTGGTGCAAAATGAGAAATCAAATCCTTGCCTGGCTCAGGTGCTTGCTATTATAAACTATGACTAAGACACAAATTTTTCTGTGATGCAACTCTCAAGAGGCAGCATTTTCTCCAGGCCTCTCTTCTAAACCTGCTCATTCGCCAGTGACTAATGCTCTCTAGAGCTGCCCTGTGCTGCTCAAATTTCATCAGCCAGCTTTGTCCTTGATAGCTCTGCCTGGACCATAAAAGCTCCCAGACCTGTTGAGGACAGCCCCCAAAAGACCAGTGCAAAGCTAACTATGCCCTTGCCAGCACCCTAGAGCTGTCTTCTGAGCTTCCATGGCATTTGTTATCTCAGTGATATGAGCACTTAAAGACCATTTTAAGTAAAGGTTTTTACTCTTCTCTGAATGAGTCTTGACAACTACATGAAAAATAAGTGTAAATCAGGTCACTCTGTGACCATTTTTTGGTCAACTTTGAGCTAGAAAAGAAATTGACAACAGGTTGGGTGAAGCCACAATTAAATGGAATCTTCCATTAACTATTTTCTGCACCTTTAAAAGAAAAAAAAATGTCAGGCTCATGATTTCTGTCAAGGATTTAATTTATAAAAACCCAAAAAAACCACTGGAAGAGAATGTCTGATTAATGGATGCTTAGTCCAGTAACATATAACTTTAGTTAACTTAAGAATTAGGATTTTTTGAGCTTGAAGTTTTGCAAAATTCTTTAGGCAAAAATTTTAAGATGAAATCATGTTTGGTAAACCTTACCCACAATAAAATAAAAGCACTTTAGAAATAACTTCAGTAAGGAATGAAACAAGAGTTTGGGGAGGTGGTTAACTTTGAATTATTAAAAGAAACTAAACACATGGCAAACCCACTCCAGTATTCTTGCCTGGAGAATCCTGTGGATGGAGGAGCCTGGTGGGCTGCTGTCCATGGGGTCGCACAGAGGTGGACACGACTGAAGCGACTTAGCATGCAAACACGTACCACTGTCCAAAGAGGCTGGCTACAGCTGACAAGTATTCTAGACACGGATGATCGAGGACCAAACACTCTCAGAACACATGTGCCACCACCAGAAAGGTACTTACAGTTATCAGACTGAAAATCTGGGACAAACTGTTCGTCATCAGGAACTTGTGCTAGAAAAGAGATTTTTATTTTAGATCTTTAAGTTTTATTAAAAAGCACAGTAAAATGTTTTATGTGGAAAACAGAACAGCCAAGAAACTTGCCTTCAGCTAACCAAGCCTCTTGAAGTTGACTGAGATCCTGAAACAACTCTGGAATTGAAAACAGAAGACACCAGAATGAGGAGAATTCTCCTGGGGGGAAGAGGGAAGAAGCTGGCTGTGTGCTGCAGTTTTCACAGGGAGCCACATGAACAAGCCACAACAGAGGGGGAGAGCTGCACTACCTTCAGAATCATGAGCCAGATCTGTGTCCAAAAACTTCCTCTTTCTGTCAATCACAGGCCGCCCTCTACTCTCCTCTGACCGAGATTTCTGAAAGAGGCCAACAGACAGTTAAGACGTCAGTGTAGTAAACGGGTCTGAAGGGGGCTGTGCCATAAGACTCACGTTCGAAGAAGGAAGACAAAACAAACCAAAAGCTACATAAACTTACCCCTGGAACCATAAAAGGGACTTGTTGATCATAAAACCCATCCATGGTGCTTCCAACGTCTCTAATATCACTTTGGAAGGTCTCAGCATTGAGCAATTTCGGTGGGGGGGAAGGGTCCTCCTGTAACAGGAATTTGGGAGATTTTAGCCCAGGTGAGGGGAAAGAAATGAAGTGGTTTATTGCTTGTTCTTTTAGCAATGTTCTTTTCTGTGGGAAAACACTCACTTTGTCTGAGGTACTTAAAGACCACCACTCAAGGTGTAAGCTTTATAGACTGACCTGGGCTTGATTAAGGGCATCAAAGATTCATGGTATATTCAGTGCCAGATCCATTCACCTAGTCATTCTTTTAATCTTTTTTATTTAATCATTAAGATGATAGATTTACTACCATCTGTCTCCTACCAAAAAAAAAAAAAAAAAAGGAACTTATTTTCATTTAAAAAGATGATTTCAAGATTCTCTCTGTAAGAAGATTCCCCAGGGTGTTTGTAATGTTATACCTTTTTCTTTTTAAAGACAATTTAATTTTTGATAGTACAGTAACAGGAAGAGAAACTGGGTTTAAGCATTCCAAATTATTTGCAATTAAGAATCTGACATACATAATGCTTCTAAAAGTATTTCATAGGTCAGTGGTAAAAAACTATATATAGTTCCAGGAATACAAGGATCCAGAGATATACTTATCTTCAGATACAACTCTTCATTAAAACTTAAATCTTTTGTCCAAACAGGTATAATGTTTATAATGTCACAGATATCTCCATGGCAACTCACAAAGAAAGCTGTAACATTTCCAACTTTTAAAAGAATAAAATAACTAAGAAAACTAATGCCTAAAGTTAACAAAATTCCACTGCACATATTTTAAATGCATCTCTACCACAGATCTTTAAAAATCATTAAAAGTATCATGGAGAGAATAATCTGTTTATTATAGTGAAATCAATTTTTCTTACATGATTTAGAAAATTAAACTGTTTCAGCACTGTCAAGTATTGGGTTTTGGAAAGAGAGGCTGGGGATCCAAATGGACAGGAGGGAACTGTTTCTAATTTGGGAGGTATAAAGTAACAATGTCAGGAAAGCACCATTCTTCAAATAAAAATGCAGTTAGGTCAATAAAGTGGGAGAAATATTAATTTCACTCACCCCAGCTCTAAGCAATTCAAAATAATTAAGGATAAATCTTTTTAACTAGTATACAAATTTTAAATAGGGAACCTTTTCTCAGTGGGCAATGGCATCTAATTTGTTTTTCACACTGTGTGAAGCATATCAAATTTTTGTATGTTAGTATACAGGGAAACCCCTCACCGCCAGCCTCCCTTCCGCACCTTAGTCCAAGTGATAAGATATTTTCAAAGTCAGAGGGACAGGAGCAAAACTACACACTTCATAACTTCTTAGAAAAACACTCCAGGTAGCTTGCCTGCAATGCCTTCCAAACAGTGCTAAAAAGTTCAACATAAAGTTTTCTTCCCAAATGTCACCAACCCGTAAACAAAATCCGAGAGGGCATCAGCAGCGAGTTGAAGGGCAAGAACACACGTTCTCTGTAGCCCTCAAAAATTTGTCAGTTTAAATAAATCATGGCCTTAGAAATTCTGTAAACGTCTATAGGAGAAGTGGACAACGGGTAGGAGATCGGAGGGGGAGAGATTTTCAGAGATTCACGATGAAATACGACGCAAAAATACTTCACCATGAAGAGCAAAAATAGTTTTTAAAAAATTAAAAGAAGCTGTTATAAGCAAACCCAAAAGAGGAGGTATCGAAGGTTTTTAAAGCAGCTCTCAAAGTTCAAGGGCGAGAAAAATCGCGTTCGAAGTATACATATTTTTTTAAGCTTGAAGGGAAAGCTCGAGTTCATCCAGGAGTTTAGACCACTTCCTTTGTGCCCCCCCCCAACCCCCACCTCCCGGTACCCCCAGGAAAAACTTGAACACAGCTTAGCTGCGCGATCGAGGCCCCTCCCCCGCGGCGCGCAGCGGGCCCGGTTTTATGAATGAGAGAGCGAGCCGCGGCCGCCACATCAGGTAAAGGCTGTAACTGGATCCCTCGCACTGGGCCCCATTCACAAAACAAGACACACTTCCACCCAATTCCCAGCCTTCTCCATTCATGAAAACTCCTTCAGATGAGCCCCCGCCCCCACTCCCAACGCAAGCCCTGCCTCCGACGCAGGCCCCTCACCCCAGCGTTTTAGGAAGAAAGCTCAATGCTTCATTCACAAAAAAAGGAAAAGAAAAAAGCCGCAGGGAGCAGCGAGCCAACGAAAGAAACCCGCTTCATTCATAAAGTCACCCACATTCATAAAAACGAGCTGCGGCGCGGGAGCTACCAACCGCCTCCAATCCTTCCCCCACCCCAAAACCCTTCCAAACATCTCTCCTTGGCACCCCTCCTCAATCAAGAGTTCGGCTCCCCCGTAGAGGTCCCCTCCCCTCTGAAAATTCAGTCAGATCCCCAATCCAGCTCGAAGCTCGAACATCTCTCCATCCCCCTCCGCACCCATCTTTTTCTTTTCCACCATCCCCAGGCCGCGGTTCTGATGTTCCCTGATTTCTCCAGAATCGCCGGCAACCTGACGCCCTCAGTCTGCTGGGGGTGGGATAAGGGGGATTGGGTGTACGCTTTCCACAACCTGAAACTTGCAAGGCCTGCATAAGTTCCTGGCCGACCCCCAACACCACACGCTGCACATGCCTATGTCACTTAACCCCTCCCGGTACTGGGGTGGAGGTGCATCACCTCTCAAACATTCCCCCTAAGCTGCTTTCTGCCCCCTCCTCCTCACTGCAAAGATCTGCGGAGTGCCTCTTCTCGCGAGCCCCCGAGTCCCCTCGAGGTTCTCAGATCTCCAGAGACTGTAAAGACCGCAACTCCGCACCCCTCCATCCCCACCCGGGAGCCCCCGCACCTCGCGCTCCCGCCGGCCTCCCCCGCGACGTGCGGAAACCCGTTCTCCTCGCGCTCCGGAACCGTTAGCCGCCCCCGTCCAATGCCTCCCAGGAGCCGAACCGGACCGTGCCCCGGGAGGGTAGGCGGGAGGTCAGCTCCGCGAGGGAGGGGGGCCCAACCTCGATTTAAAAAGTGCACCCCGACTTTGAGGATTCTGAATCAGCCAGTGAACTCTAGCCAGCTGGGCCCTTCCTGGACACCCCCCTCCGAAGCCCCCGTTGTCCACTTGACGCCCCCTCACCTGAGGCGGCGGCTCTCCTCCCCTTGCAGCGGCCCCGGGGCGCAGGCGCGCTCACGCACGCGCGCACCGGGCCTGGGAGCCTAGGCTAATGGCTGGGCCGAACCGCTCCGGGGACACTGAACCGCTCCGCGCACCAGCGGCTGGACTCTGCGCCGCAGCTGCCAACCAGGCTGGAGCGCTGGCCCGGCCCCCAGCGGCCTGCCGCTTCGCCCTCTGCTATTGGCCCGCGGCTGTAGGCCAGCCGCGTTTCCATTGGCCCGAGGCCGCCTAGAGGCTGTCCATCGCTTCTTGTTTACCCTGTCTGCGGGCAAATCCAGCCAAGCCGCCCCATCAACTCCGGTTCCCATTGGTCAACAGCGCGTCCCTCCCTACCCCTCAGGGGTCTGTTTTTCATAATTTATGCAGTGGGGGCCATTGACCAATCAGCTTAAGCTTGTTTATATAATGAATGTAAGGACGTTTTTCATTCATAAAAAACGCGACCTGAAGGGGAAGCTTAGCTGAGTCAGTGAAGCACTTAAAGGGGCAGAGAGCCTCGAGGAGCCGCCGTTCCTTCCTCGCAGCTCTCTCAACTTTTTATCGAGGTTTGGCTCTTTCCCCTTTCTCATTCACTCCTACTTCTCTCCCCCCATACGCCCCACTCCCAGCAACACCCCCTCCAGGCTAGGGCTACTGGGCGCCAGTCGTTCGCAGCTGCAGAACCAAGAGAAGTTATCGTTTTAGCATTCAGGCGAGAGGAATCCGTCATTCCACCCAGAAAGAAACTCGCTGACCGACCTGGGCGTTCGGCCCACAGAAACACAGAAAACGGAAACGGAGCCCTCTAATCTTAGTTACCTTTAAGAGAGGCCTTAATTTCCTTTAACTAGGTTTCCAGTGGGGGAAAAATAAGCAGTATCTTCCTTTTAAAATCTGAGCTCTCAAACAGATTTTAGTTACTATTTTATACTGGCAGGCCAAGGCCCAAGCAAATCTCGATTTCTCCCCACGTTTAATTGCAGTTTATAACCGCCAGAGTGGGTTTTAGGACCCGAGATGAGAGAGGGTCGGCGCTCAAAGAAATCCTCTCCAGAGACACCACCAATCAGTCAGCCGACCTAGAAACATAAATCCTTCCGAAAGGGGCTTACAGAGTTAGATCGCCTGCCTCCCTCCTGGGGCTGCTGTTTTCCATTTAAGTGTTGAATGCAAGATGGTGTATTTGCGAATTAGATCCCGTGCAGCTGGGAACGATGAGAAGCTACTCTGCTTGCCAAACGACCGGGCACTAACTGCAATTGCTGAGATTCTTAACAGAGTGTTCCAGGAAACAAATAAGCAATCCTCTCCCCTCTCCGCCTCCTCTGTCCCCTCCCGTGAAGGCCGTGGGGCGGCTCTCTGCTCTCCCAGGATCCTGGGGCTTGTGAGGGAGTTCTGTTCTCGTCTGTGTGCCCTGCCATTCACCCCGTGTGCCAGGGGTGGAGAGGAAAGAAGCCAAATATCAAGAGAGAGCCCCTAATAAAAGGGGGCCCTAGCCAACTCTGGGGCTGCCTCCTTACCAGCATGGAGACTGGAGTGTGGATTTTAGAGGAAAAAAAAACTTTTAAGTCAAAATTTGCCCACTTTCTTTTCTCTTCCACTTAGGGTTCTTGTTAGTCACTCAGTCTTGTCCCACTCTTTGAGGCCCTGTGGACTGTAGCCTGCCAGGCTCTGCTGTCCATGGGATTCTCCACGTAAGAACATTGGAGTGGGTTGCCATGTTTCCCTCCAGGGGATCTTCCTGACCCAGGGACCAAAACCGGGTCTCCTGCATTGCAGGCAGATTCTTTACCATCTGAACCACTAAGGAAGCCTTGGTCTGTGATTTATAGCCAAGAAAGATTGGAATTCACCAAAGGAAACCTGTAATTCCTAGACCCAGTGCTGACAAGGCATGAACCTTTGCAAAAGAATGGGATGGGCATGAGTGGGTGGGTGGGAAAGTGCTCTGAACTTTTGGCAAACAGTTCCATGATACCTAGGGCTTTCGAATAGCTCAGATTGTACAGAATCCACCTGCAATGCAGGAGACCCCAGTTCGATTCCTGAGTCAGGAAGATCTGCTGGAAGAGTCCTGCGTCGGGAAGGAGAGAGAGGCTACCCACTTTAGTATTCTTGGTCTTCCCTTGTGACTCAGTTGGTAAAGAATCTGCCTGCAATGCGGAAGACCTGAGTTTAATCCCTGGGTTGGAAGATCCCCTGGAGAAGAGAAAGGCTACCCACTCCAGTATTCTGGCCTGGAGAATTCCATGGATTGTATAGTCCATGGGGTTGCAAAGAGTTGTACACCACTGAGCGATTTTCACTTCACTTCACTTCACTTCCATGGTATCTAGTGTCCTAGGAGAGCAATATGCTCCCCACCCCAGCTGCAGTGAAGTTTTCCCTTGGTGAGTACACCCCTAGACTAGCTGTGCTCCCTATGTGTTGCTGAGTGCTGTCTCCCTCCCTAGACTCAAGGCCCAGGTAGTTCCAGGTTCCAGTCCTTCTCCTCTCCAACTTGTCTGCCCTCCTCCTGCCCCATTTCATCCCATCTTGTGTTGCCATCTGATCTAGTTTCTCCAGAAGAGCTTCAGAACTCCTCTTCAATCTGTTTTCAGGCCCCAACCTTTGGGTAGGCCGGCAGCCCATGGGGCCACATGTCCTTTACCATATAAGCCTTGGCACATCAATCACACTGGCTACAGAGAAACTATACAGGACACTTCAGTGAATTCCTCCATGGGGTTGGACTTGAAGCCTAAAGTGTAACTTGAATGACCTTTGCCTCAAGCCAAGGCTCTCCACCCTACCTTGGGAAGAAAAGCTGGGTGTTTAAGTGGTAATGATGCATGGTTGCTTAGTCATGTCCAACTCTTTGTGACCCCCATGGACTGTAGCCCATCCTGGCAGAAATACTGGAGTGGGTTGCCATTTCCTCCTTCAGGGGATCTGAGTCTCCTGCTTTGGCAGGCGGATTCTTTACCACTGTACCATCTGGGAAGCCCAAGTGGTAATAGCAGCTAGATTGGAGGCAGGGAAGGAGTTGGAGGATGGATTTTAAGGAGAAGATTGTCATCAACAGAAGATCATGAAGGGATTTGAACCAGAGCAGAGCTCTTGCCAACTAATTAGTCATTCAGTAAACATTTATTTTGTACCCAATACTCAGCCAAACCCTGTGTGCAGCAAAAGTGTTAGCAATGAGTAAGATCCAGTCCTTGTCTTGGAGGAGCCCACCATCTCTTATACCATTCAACAACTTGAGTTTACCTAATGTAAAACCTGTTCATGCCATGTTCAATTCTCTACAGATTCTCTCATTTAATCCTCATAAGAATAGAATTGAAGTGGTCTCTATAAAGTACAGATATTTACAATAGACAACAAACAAAGGCACAGATTAACTCACCTACCAATAGTTGCACAGCTTGTAGGTTTGTGAACCTGAATAGCAAGCAGTAAGGCAAGTAGGCTTCAGACCCCATGTGTGGCAGACATAGCATGTGTCTCTGCTTAGAAAACCACCAGGAAATATAATTTGAACCCCAAATCGTAGGGGGCAGAACTGGTTGAAGTCATAAGGAGTCAGATTTTTAACTCAGTATAGGGTTAGGAAGGACTTTGGAATGTGTGCAGTGGCTCCAAAAGGAATACTGCTGCTAGTAATGAGTCTCCTGTCATAAGAGGCATTAGGGCAGAAAGATTCAATGCAGAGGGACTATTAACACTGGGTGGGCTAGATGAACTTAGAGGATTGCTCCAGATCTAAGAATATGACTCTGAGGATTAGGAGCTTATGTTAGATGGGATCAGGCCCTCGGCTTAGGCATCTTGGCTCTGTATAACTCATGATGAACTTGCCTGACTGACTCCTGGGCTCAGAGTTGGTTCCTTACTGATAAGTTGTTTATCATGTCTCTTGTCTTGACCTTTCTCCTGCTTCTCCTTCTTAATGACTTACCTCCTCAGCTCCCATCCCCATCCCACCCCCATCTGCTTGAATGAACTTTGCTTTAAAAAGAGTTGTGTTGTGTGCACTCTCAGACGTGTCTGACTCTATGGACTGTAGCCCACCAGTTTCCTCTGTCCATGAGATTTCCCAGGGAAGAACACTGGAGTAGGTTGCCATTTCCTACTCCAGGGGATCTTCCAGACCCAGGGATCGAACCTGTGTCTCTCGGCATCTCCTGCACTTGCAGGTGGATTCTTCAACACTTTGCCACATGGGTAGCCCTTTGAAAGAGTTAATACAGGTCAATATTTTGAAGTTATTTGTTTAGTACACCGAGTGTGTCCTCCTAAGAGCATCACTTACATTGGAGGATTTTTCTAGCCTGTGTTCTGATGTACCATTCTCTCTCTCCAGGAGAGAAACAGGACTGGGAAAGATAACAGAAAGAGACCAGCCCACAGAAACATCCATCTCCTGTCAATCTAGCCTTTGTTCTCTGGCATCAGCAAAACTCAGTCCCAGTAGGATAACTAGCCCCTTGTTCTCCAATTTGCAGTGTGTCTTCAGAGAAACAACATGGAAGGATAGAAAAATGAGTCCCTTACCTCCAGCCTGAAAGCTTCTGTTTCCCATTAGAGGACTGGTTTTAAAGTCTTCCTCTAAAACCCCCAAAGCATGTTGAAGTATAAGGCAGGTAACCCTGCCTTGAGCTGATCACCAAAATGGCAGTGGGAAATGTGGCAGTGTGGTGATCTTCGCCCCTCACAGGGGACAACGCCTCCCTCTCTTGGAAATACTGTCCAAGGACTTCCCTGGTGGTCCAGTGGTTAAGAATCACCTTCCAGTGCAAGGGGTATGGGTGTGATCTATGGTGGGGAAACTAAGACCTCACATGCCTTGTGGCCAAAAAACCAAAGCATAAAACAGAAACAATATTACAACACATTCAATAAAGACTGTAAAAATGGCCCACATTAAAAAAAAAAAAATCTTTAAAAAAAAAGTGCTGTGAGGAGTGTAACCCTGTCTGAAGGTGACGGTGTGGGCTACATGACCCTGGGTTGTGGGGAGTCCTTTTCCATTTTTGTACAGTGTGATTGAAGGATCTTGAGGACTACATCAGAAAGGTACAGCAATGTGTTTCTTGTCCTCATGGCATAAAGAATTCTATCTGGCTGGCACACCTTCCTCTGTAGAATTCAGATATAAATACCCTAAAAACTGAGGCAAGAAAAGAAAATCTTTTAGATTTTTAATGTCTCTTTAAACAGCTAGGTGCCATATTGTCTTCAGGGTTCTTT